TCAAACGAAATGTTACGCAAAGGTCCTTACCACTAGGGAATTTAAGATCCCATGGCTCTTTTAGAAAAGCCCTGCTGAATTTCACTCTGCCTTAAACAGCCTGGCTGTCCTAAACCTCCCCCATAATTCAACTGGCAAAGCAATTTGTCCCTTCCCTTCCTGATCTGTTGTGCAGTGAGGCTGTTGAAATACGGAATAACAACTGCTGTGTGTCACCCATGTGGGCACTGAGCCCCAGTTAGAGGTGAAAGAAATACCCCCCCTTCTCTGTAGAGGAGTGCTTTAGAATCCTCTGGGATGAACAATGCTATAGAATTGTGAGAAATTATAATGATAAACAAGGTTTTAAAGTTAATTCACTACTGGCAAGTTTAATAAGATGCAGCTTTTAGCACATGATTGAGAAGCAAAAGATTTGCTGTTTAATACATTAATAAGAACATGTACTGTATATTGTTTCTCTTCGGCAAGGACTCACAAATGTATTGGCTAATCAAAAGGAATAGCAATTATTACTAGGCAGCCAACGATGGCAATGTAAATAATGGCACAAACACACCCAGGTGTTTGTAAATTATTTTGTTTCTTTTCTCAAGAGATCTTCTCTTTCAGAAGCTATCCATTACCAAACAAATTCAGATGTGCATTTTAACCTGAAAATGTAGCAAGCAAAAAAGGATCTTAGGCACTTCATTTGGTTTTATTACCTGGAAATATGTACCAAAAGGAACTGTGAAAAAAAATCTAAATCTTTAAGCCAAGCTGAGCTGCAAATAATTGCATTAATGAAATGTCAAAAAGCTGCTACTATGACTACTTTAATCCATTCTAGTTAAAATAAAATAGGATATTTTTTACACTGTAGACCAACAAGGGGAACTCTGGTTTTCCTGTGGTATAACTAAAAAAAACAGAGCTCACCCTTATTATTTTTATTGAACTAGGTTGACACTATACTGTATAGTATTATTCTGAAAGCAGAATATAATATACAGTATATAAATCAGATTATTTAAAAATTGACAGTCATTAATGCACATTGCATTAAATGTTAGTAATTTGTACATAACCCCAACATAAATCATTTTTAGATAAAAGGGTGCATTTAATAAGAATCAGGCGGAGTGGAACAGACAGTGTTATAAAGATGCAGTTCATAACACCTTTGTGATGGCTGCAACAGCAAAACTTTACCTTACTATAAAACAAATGTAAATTTAGCACTTTCAGTCCCAGGCTGGAATTGGTTTTTGACTGGTAGTCTGGTCACAATGCAGAAAATAAAAATCAGGCAGTCAAAAGTCTACATATCACTAAATATATTGCTGGGTGGGACTTTTAGCAAACAAATAGAGGTAAAGGGTTTATATTTTCAGTCTTCATGCTCCCAACCATCCTTAAATATTGATTTCTAAGGATAGGAGATGCCCAGAGGAAAATCAATAGTCTCAGGATATCAACATGGCAGCCATTTTATGTCAAAGGTCAAGGTCATTAAAAATTTGCCTACTTTGTGGCGAGAGGCTGGTATTTAATTCTGTAAGCATGGTGTTTGCACCTTACATAGCTTTGTGGATAACAGGTACAGAAAATAGACATCAGCAAAAACAATACAGTATATAGAACGATACACGCATAAAAACATGGTAAACTTAATATGGTGGTTATGCTCTTCTAACAAATGTCAAATGTCAACCAAAATTATTCAGAGAAAGCCAGTGCTTTAACACTTATCAGTTCATATATCATGGACTTCATCAGTCATTTTTAAATTATTTAGTTTGATAAAGGGATTAATGAAGAAAATGCATTTTTTAAACACAGAGGCCTACATTCAGTAACAGGTAAGCTAATTATTAGAAATGGATCCTATGCAAGGTAAAGTAAGATAATAGAAATCACTGTTAATTTAAACTATGCCCCTCCAAAAAGTGGGGGGCTACCAAAGTCTACCAAAAGTAACAGCATCATCTAAAAACAATGTGGGATATTCGTGCATCACGTCTATGGTTCCCAATTAGCTTGGAAACACACAATACAGCATTAGTGATACAGTATATGTACAGTAAATAGGCATATCAGGACATCTTGAGTATAGTACAAAACAAATTAAGGATTAGAAGAGGTCTATAAAATCTTATATCAAATACAATAATGGTCTATCTTTAAAAATAAATTCTATCTTTAATATAACAACCATCTTGATGAAAACTACGTGTTCCATTAATCAGAAAAAACAACTTCTGTAGCAGCAAATTATTTAAAGAAGTTCTTTCAAACTTAATTGTTAGCTCTATCGTGTTTTAAGTCTGATCTGCAATAACACCCAAACTATAGTTAAGGCAAATATTTAATTTTATATATGAAACAATTTATTTTTACATTATTTTACATTATTAGAGTTGTGTTGTACTCTGTAATGTTCTAGGACCAATAAGGCAAGTATAATATTCCTCAAAATTGTAGTCACAAGGCATTCTTGCAGCTACACAACATTGCATTCAATTTTAAAAAACTATAAAGGAGAGAGATAAACAGTTTTATGTACTGTAAATACACAAGTGACAGATTTTCTCCATAGTTTCAGCATTGTACTTTGTATTGGAAAGTAGTGCCTGCACATCCTGACATTGCTTTGATACCAAAGGGAATTATTGATAGTAATGCAGTAATATGTAAAAGCATATAGGTTTGTTAACAGACATCATTGTGACTGAGGCCAACAATAACGCCAGACATACTTCAATTTTATTGATTTGCTCAGACTTGCAGTATCCATATAGACAGGTAGAGTGACTCTGATTCTGAGGAGTTGCTTTCTCTCCTAAAGACAATTCTACCTCATATTACGTTTTTTATTATTACTGAATTACACAAACACCATCGCTTCACAGAAAATCCACTGCAGCAATATTGAAAGAATCTATCATTTGTCAATTCCCCGTCCCTGATCCCATTTCCTATCACCACTAAGTGGACTGGCAGTCTGTCAGCTGAATAGCAAGCAATCTGCTCAACTTCACTTCAAAACTGCATGCATCTCAGCTCAATGCCTCCCTAGAAAGCAAGTCAAAGAAAGTGAAAATCCGTGTGCATGCGTTCATGTGTCAAATAAAATCCATCTCCTGTAACTCCTAGGTGCTCCACATGCAGGTATGCAATGACCAAATATGGAACCAAATATGCAAAAAATACATTATCAAACACATTATAATGGCACCCCTTCTTTTCATTTTCCTGAAAGCTGTAAAGTTTTACTGCTTATCACAGAGCTTATCGTACCATACATACTATAGTGCAGCTATACTAAACACTGTGGTTTTGCAACAACAAATTTAAAATAATGTTTTCATGTGACACGTGCACACACTGTGTTCTCATAAGGTTTCAGGCAACAATATACTTTCAAGTATAACAGCCCTGTTCTCTCCAATTAATGTACTGTACACACACAAGGAGGAGTATGTATTGAGCTGAAATATTAAGACTTGCATTACGCTGTGTGAGGTCTGCCATCCACCAAGCAAAACATAAGCAAAATCAACATCTACAGTTGCAAAGCTCTGGATGAGCTGACACAGTGTAGTTTCTACTAGAAATTATAGTATGTGTAGTATTAAGGATATAGTATTTAGTACAGTATGTGGTCATTTCCAGTATATATAGTATTTAGTACTGCATACTGTATATTGACATACTTGAAATGTGTCTCACTTTGGATTGATTTTCTGAATGTAACAACATTTAGAATTTCAGAAATTCCAGTGAAAGCTTCTGTACATATAGTGAGTTAGACCTTCTATAGAATAACATGAAAACTTAACACCACAGCTTTCATATGCTTGTGTGTCTGTGGGTCTTAAATTTGAAAGAATTGCACCACAGCACTGAAATTGCAGCAGATTTACTTCGGCACAAGTAATTTTGTTCCAGCAAGTGGCATTCTGGATTATAAACTAAGTGTAACATTTGTGCAGATTTTAGAGGCCAGGAGTCAAATGTGTTGCTTCTTTACCCTGTTCAACATAGCACAAATGCTGACATAGACTGACACATTACTTCTATTGCTGTCGGTCTCTGTGTTATTTGTCATTTATTCTGGGGCCAGCTCTGTGGGATTAGGCAGCAGAAATTTAAGTAATTTTGCAGACTCTCTCAGGCTCCTCCAGAATCTCTCACAATACACAGAATGGTCATGAGAGATTGTATATTATGTTGTGGGATTTCTTAAAACATGTCACAGTTTTGCAGAACGTGGCAAGCCTTACATAATTACTGTAGGCAGGCTTCCAGGTTTAAATGGTTAAATCTGAGATGCTGTGATGGCTTATAATGCTAGATTGAATTACTTCATCTAACCACAGAATCAAAAGGCAAGACTGCCACTACTGTACTTCAGCTTTGGCCATTAGATGAGTCTGAAGTTCTGTGGTGCAAACTCCTGATAACTTTTTATCCGTCACTGTTAGGTCTAGTGTGGGCACTAAATTACCTGTAAAGTTCTTTTCAAAGTAAATACAATCCTAATGTTACATTTTGAGCATACGGTCCTTATACAAAGTTAAAAGCTTGTGTTATCTCTTATCATGAAGATTTTTTTTTTTTCAGCTGAGCGGAGCACTGTGACAGACAGTCACTCAGCAACAACATACTGTAAGTGGCCACTGCTGGTCTAAAGCACTTCTCCTAAGAGGTAGTGGAAACTACAAAGGTGCACATACTGTACTTGTAAATATACTGTACTGTGCCTCTTTTTTGAAAAAACGTGAATGTAAGTTTTGTCATGTTAAGAGGGCAATTCACCTTTAGTCTTTTTGAAACAATCTAAACTGTGCTGTATCACAACACCCCCTTTAATCATTTTCTTAGGAGTTGAACTGTATTAACGTACAGTAGGTGTTAATTAAAATTCTTCAGTTTTAAAGAGACTCATTTAAAACTCTGCCTAGGCTGCTGAAAATAGATCAGCGCGTGCATAAGTATTTTTTAACTTATCTTACCTCAGTGAGATGAGGCATGGGATTAAATCCACAGAGATTGCACACGGTATTCTTACACTCCGTGCAGGTGTTATAGTTGGGTGGATCCTTAGAACCGACGTTCAGCTCCACTTTGCAGAGCGGGCAGCTTGGCTGTGTGGATTTCGGAGGCAGAGGAGGAGCCTGCGCTGGGTCAGTGTGCCCAGCTGCTGCCTTGGGTGTCTCCACGCGGGGCTTGTCCTCTTTGACGGCGGCGGGTTTTTTCTCTTGGCCAGGAGCAGGGCCTTTCCCTGGAAGCAGTTGCTCTGGTTTCTGCGCCACCAGGGGCTTGGTGTCTTTCTTTGCAGGGCCAAGTTTCGGGGAAGCCTGAGCGGAGGCAGTTTCTCTGGGGGCTGTCTGAGCAGCAGCAGGCTGCGCAGGAGTGGCCTGGTCTGCTGGCTGCACGGCAGTGCTGATCAAACTAGACGCTTGACTAAAGAACGACGACCCGAAGCCAAACAACTTCCCGGTGACCGTTTCTTGAGGAGTCGTGGGCTGGTGCTTGGGGGTCTCGGTTGTACTCCCGATGTTTAAGCTGAAGCGCCTGGCTTGCTCTTGAGGTTTGGGAGGTTGCTGAACTGGGGGAGCCGGAGCAGGCTGTGATGTTTTGGCAGGTGGTTGTCCGGGGGATCCTTTTGGCATCTGGGGTTCTGATTTTCCCGGGTCCTGTGGCGGACGGCCGGCTTTGGACGGATCCGTTTTCGGCTGTCCGCTTTTGGCCTGCTCTTGGGGCTGTGTCGGGGGCTGCTTCGCGGGGTCACTCGGCTTCCGACCTGTCGCTTCCCCTGCTGGGTGTGTGGGTTTTGCACCCACGGGTTTCTGCTGAGGCTGCACTTTTGGATCGGGGTGCGCGGGTTTCTTGTCCTGCACAGGAGGCTGCCTAGTGGGCTGTGGGAGATCTTGAGCCTGAGCAAGGGCTTTCGGAGGCACGGGAGTGGTGTGGGGACCCTGCAAGGGCTGCTTCGCCCCAGGTGCGATGGCGGAAGGCAGGGCTTGATCTGTTGCTTTCTGTACCCCCGGCTGTTTCTGCAGATTCTCCTGCTGTGACGGCTGGGGCTGTTCTGACCCCTGGGCAGGCGGTTTCTGTGGCTGGGGCTGTAGGGCCACAGAAACTCCTGTGGGCTTCACCTGGTGGGTGTCTGGGGTGGGCTGCTGCTTGACAGGGGCAGAGGGGGTCGGAGCCTCCGGAGTTTTACTCGGCTCAGGCTGTTTGCCTCTCTGCGGAGATCCTGGGGCGGACGGCTGTTTAGGCGGCTGAGGTTGAGGCTTGGCCACCGGAGGAGCAGACTCGTCCATTCCCAGTGCTCTTTGCATCTGGCAAGTCAGACACAGCCACTCTTTGACCTGAAACAAAATTCCCAGAGTGTTAAAAGCTGATGACAAAACTAAAATGCTCAGTGACTGAAATGCCCCCTCAAACCCTTTCTCTGTTCATATTTGACTCAGACCAAACCAGGATAATGACAAAATGTGTTCTTCTTTTATGCATAAATAGGCACGTATCAGAATGGGTTCTTTATTCCGAGCCCCTGAAAATGACTTGTTTTTCTGTGAAAGGTTTAACAGCATGGATTTCCTGGAGCCCAGCCTGGAAAACAGGCTGAAAGCAAGCGGGGTTTTAAAGATGCTGGAAAAACAAACTCAAAGCAATAAACGGTGTTTTGCACTGTTCTGACATTTACCTGAAACTTAAAGTCCTCTGTGGATGTACAGGGATACAAATGTTTATTTCTGATCAGTGGAAGGTTACGCTTGAAGGGTACTGATTTGTTTGCATCTTGATTTAAAAGCTCTCACTGAATGATCAGTCGCATTTCATGCTTAACTGCCACCAAGACATTATTGATATACTGATGACTGTGGTTTCCAAGGCTACGCAGCACTTGGAAGGAAACAACTGCTTAAAATGGACATATACTTCTACTCTCACTTTTTCATACTGTATTTTATTTTAACTACTTGATATTTCAATTCTGTGTATTACACTGGACAGCTACATATTACAGTATGTTTCACCATAACACACTTAAAGTCTTTACCATTATTAGAGCAGTCATACTACTGTCATTGACACACTTAGTCATCACATTAACCCCATGAAAAGCAATTAACATTACAAATTCATTTGTAACATCAAGTATAACATACAGTAACTCCACATATCCAAATTCAAAAAATTTACAAAGAATGCATTTTTCACCATGCTTATATTAAATACTGATAAAGACCATTTGGCACTGTACCATATTTTCTCTGATGGGCATTAAAAATGTAACAAATAATGAATATTGTAGCCAAAAGTATTTATTGCATTTTAATTGCCTCTAAGTATAATACAACAACAGCACATACCGTACGTCAATAAGGCTACACAAGAACAATGATAAAATCAGAACTAAGAGAGCATTCTGTCAGGGGAATACAACAAAATAATGCTGCTTAAAAGAAAAAAAATTAAGGATAATTTAAATATATATATATTTCTTTTATAGGATATTTTGAATCTGGATTGAGGGAAAAGTAGTGAATATAGATGAAACCTACTTGAATACACATGCACCATACCCAGAACTATGGTTCATAAACTACAGCAGTGAACCAAGCCTACAAATGTACCTATGGCAAAGTAATAACATTAAGCTAGAACATGCTGAATGGTGTATATTTGGATAAATTAAAACAAAACATTCAGCACAAAAATAAGTTGGGAATGCTTCTGGGAGGTGAAATATGATTTGACAGTGGAAGGAAGGTCTTTTATCACTGTGTTCTGCCCATATGTACATAGAAACTGGACCACTGGACCACTGCTTCACTTTTTGTCTGCAAAAAGTGATAAAGAAGCTCTAGACATGCAACAGATGCTTGAGAAGATGTGTGCTTACAAAACAGGAGCAGTATCTGCAGAAAAAGGAAAAAAATGGGTCTGAGCAGAAACAAGAGCTATAACGCATCATTACAAGACTCTAGATAGAAAAATGGCCAACAGGATTGGATCTTTTCAGCATCAGAGAACCCGAAGCAAAATGACTGAATGGGGCAGTCTTTCCAAACAGTTTGCCTTAACGAGTTAAGTTTTTATGCAACGCCTTCAAATTCCGTGTGGGCGCAGTGGAAAAAATGTGACCCACATAACACACACAGCATCAACAGCATACTGCTATGTAATAACTGTGTGTTATATTGGATTTTATCCCATGAGGCCATCATGTGAAGATTGTAAGGCTTATATCCAGGCTCATCAAACAACTGGGTTCTCAACTAAGGTCTGAATTAAAGAAAAACATTACTGTTTTTAAGAGTATAAGTGTGCC